GATGGCAGAAACAGAGAAGCCATATATATAGATATAGATGGTTCGCCACCACCCACCCCCCATCACCCCTGCCACCACCACTTCACCTACCACCACCATCCTACCACCCACTCGCCATTACCATCCACCCATCCCTCCCGCCGCCACCACCAACCACCATACTCACCTATCAATCCACCCGCCACTACCCAGTCCACCGCCCAGCTACCACCGCCCAGCACCTACTTCAACCTACCACTCACCACCCATCTACCCACCACACACCACCTGCCCACCCATCCCTACCCACCACCACCACCACCCCCACCGACACACCACCAACCACCACCCATCACACTACACCACCACCACCACCACCATCACCACCACCTACCTGCCACCATCATCAAACCACCCCCACACCACCACCACCTCCACCCACTCGCTACACCTACACTGTTCATCCACCCCCGACCACCAAGTCATCACCCTGCCACCACCTCTCCCACCACCACCTCACCACCACCACCAACCCATTCCTTTACCACCCAAACCGCCTCACCCACCCACCCACCAGCACCATCAACCACCCAGCCTGCCACCACACTACTTACCCACCACCAGCCACACCACCACCACCCACCTGCCTACCACCACTACAATCCCACCACCCCACACACACCACCCCCCACTCGCTACCACCCACCACCCCGCCACCGCTCACCCCTTATCCATCACCACACCACACCACCACCACATGCCACCCACCGCCCACTCACACACCACCATATGCCACCCACCGGCGTCATCCGCCAACCCACCACTTACTACCACCTTACGCTACCACCAGCTACGTCACCCACCACACCACCACCACCACCACCAGCTACCCACCCGTCACCCTTTCCACCACCGTCTTCCGCCGCCACTTCTACCACTTGTCATTCCTCACTCTTTTTTATATTTTTTAAGATTTTTTTAAACATTTTGTCAATTACCAAACGCGCTTTAGCTTTTGTTTTTTTTAAAATAAACAAAACGAGTTTATAAAATTTTTGAAATATAAACTGAAAACGTCAAACGGTTACCAAACACACCCTCAGTGTTGTTGGTTTTAGTTTTAGTTTTCGTATTTTTTTTATTAGTGAATATTTTTAAATTTTAAACATTTTTTTTTTTTACTTTTTTAGAATGGCACCTTACTTAGGATGTATCTAAAAAGTAAAAATTTACGAAAAAAATATTTTTAAAATTTATTAAATCATAAAATAATAAAAAATATACTGAATCTCGTATTTTTTTTTGCTATTTTGATATTTAGTAAATTTTTTAAGGTTTTTTTTCAATTTTTTTTTATTTTTAAGTATATTTATGTTGCGTATGTCTAAAAATTAAAAAAAATTGCTCAAAATATTAAAAAAAATTTTAGTAAAAATAAAAAAAACAACAAAAAAAAGAAAGTAGAATTTTCTTGAAAAGTATTTTTGGAAAAATGATAACCAAGCACCACCATATTATTTTGTTAGAAAGTTAAAAAAAGTTAACAAATTTAATAAATATTTATTACAAATTCTCAAAAAATAATAAACTAATCTATTATTCTAATTATATAAGTATACAGTTGTCCAAATTTTTTTTTTTTTTTTTTTTTTCAGACGTCATGCTCTTTCCATGTTTAAGTAACCCTTTATATAATGTCCAATTTTTATTTATTATTTATCTTACGATGTTTAATTTGTTTCATGAACGTAGTAAGATTGGCAGTAAGAAAATTATTAATTGTGATAGTATTAAGTTATAAATATAAGATAAAATGTGTTTAAAAAAGTGATTTGAGACCTCCTTCAATTACCACCCCACCATCTCCACATACATGTGACGAATCGTGATTGAGAGTCGAGGAAGGAGAAAAAAAAAAACAACTGGCTAATCAGAGGGGTCAACGGGCCCCTTGTGGGGTCCCAATCATTTTCCAATGTGTTTATTTTTCGAATATTAATTAGTATAGACTAAATCTACTAAAATTACCCTAAAACACTCCTCACATATAATAAAATTTTATTTAATGTGTTTGTTTCAGTTTTTGAATTTCAATTTTTTGAAAATTAAGTTTTTTATTTTTTTTGTTTTTAAGGAATATTTTTTTAAATTTTAAGCAATTTTTTTTTTAGATGCTACTCTTACTTAGATTAATCTAATAGTAAATTAATTTATGCAAAAAATTTTAAAAATAATAAATGCCATAAAAATATGAAAATGTACTAATATTTTGTATTTTTTTTATAGTTATATTTTTTGGTATTTAGTGAATTTTTAAAAGGTTTTTTTCACAAATTATTATACTTTCTAAGTGCTTTATGTTAGAATGTACTAAAATTTTAAAAAAATTGCTTAAAATATTAAAAAATTCAGTGAAAACAAAAAAAAAATATGAAAACGAAAGTAAAATATTCTGAAACAGTAAATTCTAAAAAAACGAATAGAGTGATTAGTTTTGTTTAAAATGGAGGGTTTAAAACATGGTAATTTAGGCCTGGTTGCATACCAGAAAAAATATTAAAAAGTCCAAAATTACAAAAAAGTTAAAAAGTTATTACTATCCACAAATATAAAAATATAAAAAAATTAATTTACCACCATATTTTTAATTACAAACTAATGAGTTGTCAGATGCTGGTACTGAATGATGGTTCATAAGTATGCTAATGTATGTCAAAGGAACAAAAAAAGAAATTAGATATATATATTCATTAAGATGGGAGTGATAATGTTCGGCCCATGGAGGCCGCACACGCGTCCCGTGTTTTTGATATTCGAACCATTCCAATGTGTACACCTGTCGAAAGTATTATAGGTCTGTAAAAAATCACATGATTAAGATATGGAATAATAATATGATCAATCAGATGTTTTTTCAAGCCGTTTATTTTCACCGTTTCATTAATTTCATACAAGACTGTTTGATCACATAACTATCGATATCCGGATGTAAAGTAATTTTTCATTAGCATATAGTACTCAACAGTTCGTAACAGCATTTGACGGTTCAAATTATCTAGAACGGGACCGCGTGGTGGGCCCCCACGCGGCCAACAGGTACCCATGAAGCCTCATACACCATTAACCAAGCGTACTATCCTCCGGCCGCCTTTCAGCTGATAAGCTACAAGTAGTGGGTAAAAAACATAATTTTTTTCATTATAACATATTTAATTACACATTTTTCGTAAAAAGCCAAAAAGTTATTCCAAACAACCATATTTTTTCTCTCAACTTTTTAGTCTAAAAAAGTCAAAAAGTGTACTTATTTAAGACACCCCAAACAACCCCTTAGTACAAAATGTTGAGGGATTAACTTAATCCCACTCTCCCCATGGGATATGCTATTCCTACACTATAAGAGGGAGATTATACTCCCATTGAGAATTAGCAATCCACATGAAAATTTTGTTAGCATACAAAAAATGAGTTTGTGGTCTCATGGATGGGTAATCCATCCTCTCTCCCAAACCCCAATCAAACCATGGCCTTAAGGTGTTTGTAACTTAAGTAGGTTGGACATTTTCTTTCCCTAAGATAATTTAACAAAAATAATTAATTTAGCTGAAAAATAATGTATATAGGGTAGTGATATATAATAATAAGACAGAAGAGAAGACTTGTTTTAAAATTTATCCTACACACATTGCTCATACTAGAACATATTAACAGTTTAGGATTATTTCTGCTTCAGGATGGACGGTAACCTCTAACCTCAACTTCCCGCCTAAGCAGCCACACTTCAAAATAAACTAAAAAACTTTGCAAAACCACCCCCAATCTCCTGTCTCACCGTAAAGATCACCCTCCAAGAGAGTGGATTCCTACGAGTGATCTCCTACAGTGAGCCATCCCATGGCCGATACCGTGTCCCAACACTCAGGCTGCCAACGTAGCTGTGATTGTACGGGCTGAGATTCAGCCTCACCCACTCAAAACGACATCGTTTGGTGGAGTAATGTTGAAAAAAAAAAAAATATCAGCTTATTATCTCTCTCTACTCTCGTACAGTTGAGCCATCAGTGTCAGTAAATTTGAAAAAAATCACCATCTGCATCCCTTTTCAAATTGCCGATTGCTTATTGATGGAGAAGGAATACTTCATTATCAGACAATCATAAACATTATATTGCATAAAGTTGACTCAGTTCATCACAGGCTGGTCTATCTCCAAAAAAGTCTGGTGACATTCAAAAACAATACGCAACAAATCCAAACACGGCATCTGAATGATACAACAAAAAAAATCACAAACCACAGAAAAATAGCATTTCAAAAAAAAATCATGTAAGAATCTCTCAATCAAACACATTCAACAGAACAAACTTATCATTTACATTAACATTAAAAAAAACCTGAAAAATTTAATAAAACAATCGGAAAACCCAAAAATATTGGAGAAATTTTGGAAGCCGTTGGCGGCGGCAAGACGCGGACAAGTGGTGATGTGAGGATAGAGATCAGAGAGAGAGAGGGGGAAGCGCATAAGAGGGGGCCTCTTCGCTTTCTTTTTCC